ATGTTTATTGAACGACGATGTAGCGAATGTGATGATACATAAAGTTCATGTAGTCAGATGGCGATTGCATTCTTAAAAACTGCTTCCCTATACAAACTTTTTATGTCAAATAAAAGAAATAAAACTTTAATTAATTGTTTACTAAACGAACTAATGTAATTAAATCTAAATAGGCCCGGCATGGCCAGGTGGTTAAGGCACTCGACTCGCAATCTGAGGGTCGCGGGTTCGAATCCTTGTCACACCAAACATGCTCGCCCTTTCAGCCGTGGGGACGTTATAATGTGACGGTCAATCCCACTATTCGTTGGTAAAAGAGTAGCCCAAGAGTTGGCGGTGGGTGGTGATGACTAGCTGCCTTCCCTCTAGTCTTACACTGCTAAATTAGGGACGGCTAGCGCAGATAGCCCTCGTGTAGCTTTGCGCGAAATTCCAAAACAAACAAACAAACTTTTTACACATCCCAAACAGAGATATAGACAATTCCGGAATTTTTGTCTTTTGCTCAATTTTTCAGGAAGTAAAGCACAATTTAGCATTTTCGTGAACTATGCATGTGTATGTCAACCAACTTACATGTGTAGGTCAACCAACTTGCATGGGATTTGGTACAAAGATACCTTCTTGCAGATCCCAAGCAGTGATTTAGTTAGTTTGTAATCAAACACAAAGCTACACAATAGGCTATCTGTGCACTGCCCACCACGGGTATCGAAACCCGGATTTTAGCGTTGTAAGTCCGCAGATATACCGCTGTGTCACTGGGGGGGGGAGTAATTTAGACAGGTGTCAATTTTTCTGTTGTTGTTTTTACGATTTTTCTAGTGTCAAAATTGGCCATGTTGAGATTGCATGGCGGAGACATGATGCATTCACTCGCGAATGTTGGTCTCTTTAATTAACTTAATACTGTTTTGTATTTCTTTAGTCAGTGTTTCATATTTTCTCAGAAGAAAATCGAGGATAAAGGGAAAAATTTTGTTGGAATAACAAAACATAAAAAGTATGTTTAATATATCAATTAACAAAATTTTTCGTATGTTCCAATAATAGGATAATTTTCAAGCTAACTGACATTCGTAAAATAATTCATAACATAATACAGAAAATCATATTATTGTGTGTATGTATATATATATATATATAAAGAAAAAGTAATGTTTATAAAACGTGTAAATTATATCCAAGGTACATAATTCATTCTTCATCCAAAGTATACACAATCCTGAGTGTTCTACAACAACTAACTTGAAAATTTTGATTTATCGTTGAAATAAATAAACGTATAAATCTGAAAAAAGTCTATGACGCGTTAGGTTCATTTTGTTCCATTGTTTTAATGGACTAATATCGCACTTATCCTTGAGAAAATAGTTCTTCCGCGTCTTCTGTATAACTTAAGATACACTTGTTCTACACTACGATTGAAGACAGAAAACCACATATGAGAAATTCGCATATTTTTTCATATGTGCTATGCAAAAATTAAATGTAGTTATTTTGATAGTTGGCACATGTGTGAGACTGAAGAGTGATGTACTTTGGTGGATACAGGATTCTTTGTTTTTCTTTTCCCAATGTTCCAGTCTTTTCACGCACCATCTCTTCCGACGGCTGGATATTATTGAAGGATGCGTGCTGTGACAGTGAGAGATTCTTCACACTACACCGATAATTATCTATGACACTTCAGATGAAGTATGGATAGTAAAAAAAAAAAGCATTAACAAAGTATATTTAGAAAACTTTGAGTTCTTAAAGACATACAAATCATTCAGACAATGTTATTTTAAAGAAAATCTTACAGATATTCCCTAAACACCGTGTTGTTACACTAATAATAATCAAATCTAACAGTAATTTAGATGATAATCATTTCTAGATATGTCTAAAATATCCATTTGATTTACTGAATGCACACGTGGTTCTTTTCTGAGTTAAGACTGGATTGGGAGAACCTCAAGAGGTTGGAAACAAGTTTCAATCAGTTTCAGGCGTCCTGTCAAAATTGTATGTGATCAATATCAACTTTCGCTTTTTGTATGTCTTTTTCTTTAAACCTTACTTAAATGGATTAATATGTGCAGGACGAGTTAGACTTCCAAGGTTTTAATTATATTATTTCTCATTACTAAAAAAAAAGGAAATAAGATAAACAAGGAAATAAAACTACTTAAATAAATACTCTCTCCCCCGCAGTACCATGACCCTAACCCTTGACCTCGACCTAATTTAATTTTAACGATATCTAACAAAGAAAATGGAAACATAGTGACTTCTTTGTCCAGTCGCTCATATCTTAAAAATAAAATTATGTCAATTAGATCGTAAGATCACAGGTGGACAATCACACGAGCATGCTCATAGCTGCAAAGTGAACGACTTTATAGATAACTTTTTCTTTCTTTTTTTAAGAGGTGAAGAGTAGGAAATGATATGAGAATAACATATTATTGTATTTGTAAAATTATATAACGTTGTTTTAGAACTTAACAGAATCAACGCTATTTACAAATGAATTGTGGTTTACGATATTTTTTGGGCTTCTATATGAGCATATTACCTCTATCCAATAAAATTCAAGTACTTTGTTTTTTTTATTCAGCATGCAACATTAGATATTTCAAAGTTGTTAGTAAGAAACTGCTTATTGAAGTAACTAAAAAACACTACTCTCAAAAGTGGGCGAAGCTAAGTCTGACATAAACAATATAAAATGAATGGTTTTTAATAGGGCAACAGCTTTCAGACTAGAGAAATTCAAGTAACAGCGACGTCTCCACGGAGCTCCCAATACTTTAATCGGTTTATCTTTCATCCTGTGCCGGATGGTAGAGAGAACAACAACAAAAAAAGTTCGTAACGTTTAATGAGGTTGTAGTTGCCAGATAAAGTGATGAAGGGAAGATGTAAGTGGCTTCAGCAGACGTCGTCAGTGGGTAAACTCGACTTTACAAGTACCAGAGTTTATGGTAATGTGTGTTCAAAGCCGAAGTTTTATTGACTCTGCTTATCAAAAATAATAGCGAAAATAATAGTATGTGTGTTTCTTGATAAGCATAAAAAGAGAGGAAATTGGATGTTAAGGTGATGTTAATTGGATGTTAACCACTAGCTTCTGCATTATTCACAAGAAACACTTAATGAACCAAAAATCCAATCCTAGCTGGTAACGTATATATATAGCACAGATAAGTATATTGACTTTAGTATAGTTATCGCAGTGGCATGGGCATCTTCTTAAAGATCTAGTGTGGGTGGACATCTGTTAATGTTTGAAAATATAGATCATTACAGTAGGTGTACGTTTGGGAAACTATGATGTGTGATCAGATCCAGAAGTTAATTTAAAACCACCTACTATCTACCTAAACAAACTCTGTAGCCCTTCTGGGCTATCTTTAGTACAGTCACGTGTTAACCGAAAGTAACAGATATATATATTTGTATTTCCCTAAGTATATCAGTTTTACGTATGAATGTGCAATTACTAAATACTGGGATATTCTATTAGAACCTTACGAGGTTGGAAACAAATTTCAATCAGTTGTTTTAAAATCGTATCGTGAAAATTGGGGAATTTTAAAGTAAAAAAAAACAACAACTAAAATAACCGAGAACTTTAATGTAACGGAAAATATCCAAATACAACCAGTTATTTTATGAGAACAATTTACAGTTCTTAAACAAAACTTATTAAAGATTCCATTGGTTAATAAAGTCATCACAGGACTATTTGAATGCCACCCAATAAAAACGCTAATGTGACTGGAGGTAGGGAAATTTGGTTAGAGTAAGTTTTTGATTATATTGTTGCAATATTAAACATTAAATCAGGTAACAAAAGCTATGAGTGGCTGAGTGAAGCTCTTTTAACTGGGTCGATAATAATGAATATTTCTCAGTAGATTTTTATATGATTGTGAGGATGAGAAAGTTTGCGTGATGTAATGCTAAATTGAGGTATCCACATTTTACATTCTATATGTTCAGAAGTATCTCAGATTAAAAAATCCAAATTACTATCGCCATTTTATCTTACCTAAAATACATAAGTGTAGATAATTCATCAGTCACTTTTACACGTTTCTTCCGTGTTTCATCAGTTGCGCTTACACGTTTTTTTCTGTGTTTCATCAGTTACGCTTACACGTTTCTTCCGTGTTTCATCAGTTACATTTACACGTTTCTTCCGTGTTTCATCAGTGACGCTTACACGTTTTTTTTCTGCGTTTCATCAGTGACGCTTACACGTTTCTTCTGTGTTTCATCAGTTGCGCTTACACGTTTTTTTTCTGTGTTTCATCAGTTATACTTACCCATTTCTTCTGCGTCAAATGGTTGAAATGTATTGAACCGACACAAAGTGGATAACCGTTTTGAAATGGAACCTTGTTTATCATGTTGCTAAATTATTAAGAGCATTCGATGATCCAAGAGGAAGTCTAAAGTTATAGAGGACTCAACAACTTTATTAGATTTAACGCTTTAACTTAATGCACTTAGAAGTAGGACAACTTGCACTTTAAAAATGCACTCTAAAACACAGTCACATAGGTTTTGTGCATAACTGTACATTGATTTACCATATACTCGCTGTTCACAATTTCAATGTCCGATTTAATTTTTTAAGACGTGTTTTTCCGTTCGTTAAATCAGATAAAAATATTACCACAAGTTTAATCCTACTTCTCAAACATTTTTTTTAATCAGTTCTAACCAAGCTTCGCTAGCAGGAAGTTCAATAAAGATTTTTCCACTCTACAACTAGTTAGTGTGGGTGACTAGCAAAAATAAATTGTTCTGACTGAAGGTCGGCCCTGAAGTGTTAGTGGTGACAGGTCTACAAAAATCTGTGTCTTCTATGCCCGTCTCCAATCAGGAGGCCCTAGACACATCCCTATTAACATCAATCTTTGTCGGGCAGCATGGAACTAGTTTTATCTGTCTTGTCAAATCTGGATTTAGTGTGCTATATTTGTATAATGTCCTCTTGGTAGAACAAGGGCATCTTATACGTATCTTTCTCGCGTAATATGTAATTTGAATTTAATGTGCTATATTTGTATAATGCTCTCTTGGTACAATGAAGGCATCTTGTACGTATGTATATTATTTGTATCATAACCATTTACTTTCGTAAATACAAATGAAATCTTGAAAAAAAAGTGTTATACCTTGCCTAGTTATTTTATAATGTATTTTTAGATCACTAAATACTACAGGTTGAACATAAATGAAAGCTGTAATAACAAACCCAAAATTCATAGATTAAATTCTTAAAAAACTTGAAATTAATAGAGAAGTTTGGACAGGTGTGATAAATGCACAAAAAAAGCATTACTTGTATGAAAACTCTGTTTACAAATGATAAAAACCTAAATGAGGGTTATAATGCGTGAGCGAAAGTAAGTAGGAACTGGTATTTAGTATTTTCAACCTGAACGGCACTTTTTGAGAAATATATGATTCGGGCATAGATATAATAATGTAGAACTGTTGAGATGAGAGAAGACAACCAGGTAGCAGTACTTGTCGCCCATCGACTACTATTAACTGAATAATGGTGCTCACTGTCACTTTTAGAACGTGCCCAGCTGACAGTGCGGAGCTTATTCAGTGTCAAATCGCCGGTTTGAAACTTGGACCTTCCAATTCGTTAGAACGTGCCCAGCTGACAGTGCGGAGCTTATTCAGTGTCAAATCGCTGGTTTGAAACTTGGACCTTCCAGTTCGCAGCCCGGCCTGAAAATTACTAAGCCACTCCCGGTTCATGTATAGAAACTGTAATTTACTTGAAACTATTTAATTTAAACTTTCAGTAATGATAATGATGATTTCAAATTTATTTTGATAGTCTAGTCATCACGATGTACGGTACTGATGTATATTGATGATATCTTCACAAATATCTTTCAACTTATCACAAACGACCAATTCTTTTAGGCCAAGAAAATGATGTATTCTGTTCCGTCTAAAATAATACAGCTTTCTTCGAGACCATAAACATTCTATAGTTTTTCAACGTAAAATCTAGAATACAACTATTTATGTTGATAAATTTGTTGTAAGAGAAAGTAGCTTCGTGTTAGTTAATGAATGGAAAGTATTTCCAAAATCAGTCAAGTGAAAACCCATTTCATTTTGTGGTCAGATTGAATAGAATAATCTTTCTTTTCGTGTACTCCTCAGATGCTTAGTTATTATTTCGGTCTTTTATTGAAAGACTCAAACCGAATGAGCTAATCGATCTGGTCTTGTTAGCTAATTAAACCATAGCAGCATATAAAGACATTAACCATTCGTATATGGGGTGTGGTCTTTCTTGTTATTTATCGTTTCAATTATTATGCATCTCATTAAAAGGTAAAATGATTCTGCCTGTTTTCTTTTTCTTTTGGAGCCAAGTAATACCCAATGTCTAGAGTGCCAGTCTGTGAATCTCGTGGTCCATGATTCATGACCTTTTCCGCACAAATACGTTCTTCACCGTAGGTGCATTTCAAGCGATGGCCAAATCCCAATATTCAGTTAACGTAGTCCAAGAGTTGGCTGTTGTATTTCTTTTAGACTATCAGTCAGAATTAGAGATGGCTCTCGTGAAGCTCTGCGCGAACTTGCGAAACAAACCACAAACAATTTTTCTTAATATCAATAAATTAATGTAAGATAATTCTTTATATCAAGTTGCAATTAAAATTCTGGGACAATAAGCCGACGAAATACTTTACTTACATTAGTAATGTTCAGCATGTAATTGTCTTATTTGCTTTAACTATAAGTGCAATATGCAAACATACTTGAGGCTAAGGTGCTCACGTGTCTCGGTTTAAATTAGTTTGCTCTTTGCGGGCAACTTAAAATGAAATAATGTTCTTCAAAACAAATAAGATAAGAAACAGTACATTCTCACTTGAAAATCAGTAGAATCAGCAAAGGTCCATGTCAGCAAAAAGAGCAGTCCACATTCCACAGGCCAAGACATTGTTTTCTTTCTTCCTGAGGATAAAAAAAAATCCATAAACGTAAGAGAATCGATCCATGTATTAATTATAAAAAAACTTTATCGTTATAAGTGATAATTAAATCCTAAATCGATTTGTGAATTATTTTCGACGCATTATATTGTGTTTTAAGAGCATGTATAATTTAAATTTACTCTAAATATCAGTTTTTAGAACTCGATGTGGAATGCTATGATGCGACTAAAATTACATCTGTTAATTAGACTGGCCAAGTCAAAGTTGTTGAAGAAATGTATATTTACATTTCTACTTGTTTTCTGTCATATGAATATATATACCTGCTGTAAAGGAAATAATTTTGGAAACACACAAGTTATACACATACAGAAACCACTAACAATAAGTACTGGTAACTAAATATTGAATTATTTAATGGCATAAAACATTACCACCGAAAATATAAAATAATAGTGAATAAGTTGTAAAATTCAACAAGTATTTTGTCTGTGAGTCCTTCGATTTACAAAAGATGACATACAACTTGTTAATGCACACTTGTGGAATATTGTTTCAAATGTCCCATATTACTTCCTACAATTCAACAGGTATTTTGTCTGTGAGTCCTTTGATTTACAAATGATGACATACAACTTGTTAATGCACACTTGTGGAATATTGTTTCAAATGTCCTGTATTACTTCCTACAATTCAACAAGTTGTTTGTTCGCTGCTAGGTCTCACTTTTTACATAAGCTCACAAAACCTCAATAATGTTTATACTGGAATTCTGTTTAGGCCCAGCCACGATTGTGAATTTTCCTTCGTTAATATATCGTTTTACAATATTTGATGTATATTGGGAACCACTGACTTCCTGGAAGATGAATCAACGCCCGATAAGTAATGTTCTTGGGGAAATAGCATAATGTCTCAGAATATGCTTATACTTGTCAGCAGTCAGTGTTGTTAATTTTGGGTTGATCACTTACGCTGTTTATTGTGTGTGTATATATATATATATACCAAATTCCGTGCATGTGAGCTATGCTAAAGTAACATTGAAGAAAATTAAATGGTAATGTTTGAACTTAGAAGGTTAACCTTAATTTCATGTATGAAATTAACTAGTCAATGAGCTTTTGAGTTATAAGGTTAAACAAGAACGTTTACGCGAGAAACTGACAATGAACTACAATAAGAAAATAATATAGCTCTGTGTTATCTACAACGAAAATGGTTTAAAGATAAATAGAAAAAAACTAGGTTATAAACAATAATATAATAATAGTGAAATTTATCCTAATAAGAAAGTTATCTGAAGAAGAAGACCCCCCCTCGAAGATTTAGATAAGTCTCTTATCCATTTACGTTCTATTCGTAAGACTTACACATAATATTAATTAAACTGTAACTGAAATAAAAAACCAATCAAATTAATAATAAATATGAAGACGGTTGATAAAACACAAAACAACCATCTTCATTATTAAACTTCCTTTTCCCCATCATGAATCTATTACCAATCAAATTAGGTGAAGCTATGGGCTTCCCCAATGTCCCACATATAAACCTACTACTCACCTCTGCGACCAACTATAAGACGTGTATAGTTATTCCTAATGAAATATAGAAGCATTGAATAAAATTAGGTGACTATGAACAGGTTAAAAATCAGATTACTCCTGAAGAGTGTGGTAACTGGTAAGTAAATCTTATGTCCTGCAAAGGAAAGCTAGTGGTTGTACAATCCTTTTGTTTTAAAGCTTTGTTTGTTTAAACAGTTGATTAAATTCTAAAATGAAATTATGTTTAGGGTAATTTCAAGTATCTTTCAAAATTTTAATGTTTTCCCTAAAGACAACCCAAGGTCGTATCGTTTTCACTGACCCAGAAGCCTAGATTTCTGTTCACGCTTCTGATATTTTATATACTATCAACGCTGAAGGAAAATATATTTTTTTACATGCAAGTATTATTCTGGTTTTACAATGGGGGCGTCCTTGGCGTACATAACTGGTCTGAATATTGTTTAAACTAGCCGTCTTTAAGTAGTTTCAATAGTGACTAAATTAGCTGTATATATAACTGGTCTCAGTACTGTTTAAATTAGCTCTATATAAATAAAGTAATGTTTAAACCAGCTGTGTAAAAATTGTTTCAGCATTGTCTAAACTAGCTGTGTAAAAATTGTTTCAGCATTGTCCAAACTAGCTGTGTAAAAATTGTTTCAGTATTGTCTAAACTAGCTGTGTATAAATGGTTTCAGCAGTGTCTAAATTAGCTGTGTATAAATGGTTTCAGTGTTGTCTAAACTAGTTGTATATAAATGGTTTCAGTATTGTCTAAACTAACTGTGTATAAATGGTTTCAATATTGTCTAAATTAGCTATGTATAAATGGCATCAGTGTTGTCCAAACTAGTTGTATATAATTGGTTTCAGTATTATCTAAACTAACTGTGTATAAATGGTTTTAATATTGTTTAAATTAGCTGTATATAAACGATTTCAGTATTGTTTAAACTAGCTGTGTATAAATGATTTCAGGGTTGCCCAAACTAGATGGCTCATAGAGCTTTTGTTATTAAAGGAATCCATACATATATTATTATTTGCGATTAGATGTTTTCATTGTACTTTAGCATTTCTGTTTTATCGAAATTTTAATACTGATCGATTCTTTCGTAAGTTAAAAAAGTCTCGTAAGAAAATAGTGTTCCAACTTAAAATCATTGGCTAATTATCTTTAGCAAGAATTAAATAAAAACATAAGCTAGCCATGTGTCTTAGATTGTGTATATACTGAATATAAAACTAAAAATTCCAGCGTACTGAAAGATTGCTTCCAGCGTCCACCACAGATCGAGTTCACGATAGAAAAAGTGATATTGTTGATGATATAAACCTTTGTTGAGAATAGATGTTTGATACCGAACAGAATTCGAACCTACGATCCTGCTTTACAATCATAGCTTATGAGAAACTAAAATACTAATTCTCTTATATTGCAAGTGTCGACCTTATTGATTTTGTCAAAAAGAAGTTGGTATTTGTTATACAGTATATATATTCTTCAGGATAATGGAAGAATTTAGTGATGTACAGCGTTTGAGTTAATGTTTTAACAGAAATGTTTTACGCTAAAGAATACATACTTCTAATTATCTCTTTTTTTGTTGTTGATTGATCTAATATTGTTCATTTTTTAAGATTAATAATATAAGCCAGTGATTTGTAGATTATATATAGCTGTTTGTTTTGTTTGTTTGAAGGTGAGCACAAAGCTACACAATGGGCTATCTCTGCTCTGCTCATCACAGGTATCTAAACCCGATTTCTATTGTTGTAAGTCCACAGACATACTGTCGTGCCACTGGGGGGGGGCTATATATGTAGCTCAATTACACTAAACGCAATGAAATATTTTTCTTTAACAACATAAATGTTTAACCTTAAAAGGTGTCCGTAGTTTAACATTGTTCTATTAACAAAAGGAGCATCTCGAGTCTAACATGTTCTCAACAAGCTGCTTAAATTAGTTTAGAAAAAGTTTATAGTCCTGCATAAACAGTTTAGATGATGAAATATATGACATCAGGTTTAAAAAGGAAGGAGATCACAATCTAAGTAGTGGAACAAGGGAACTGCAAGTTACTTCCTCTTTATTGCTAATGTGTTTTGCTTACATGATATATTTTATAACGTAATTCTATGACTGAAGATTTCGCCTGAATGTGTCCAAATTTCTTCTTGTAAATGAAATCAACAGAATTCGGCTCTTCACTACTCGAATTTTAAACTCGATTATTTTCAGTCGTTTAGCTTAGGGATTCTCAAAACTGTTAGATCAACCTATTTAACTCAGAAAATAGGTCAACACGTTTTTCTCGAAATTATATAAACTCACGTAATGACTCTATAAGTGAATTGTTAGACAATTTTAAAACGAATTTATCATCATCTTCGACTGTTTGAATTTAATGTTGCTAAGTCTTCGGCTGCTTGAATTGCTTATTGTTAAGTATTTTCGAATATTTGGATTTGTTATTGTTAAGTCTTAGAGTATTTAAGTTGGATATTTTTAAATTATTACACCACATCTCTTTAACTTTTTGAGATAAATTAAAGTGTACTGTTTGAGATTCGTAGCCTTAGCATCTCGTGGTTGTTTAACAACTTTTTTTTTTGCTTAACAAAGCAGGTTTGCTTGTCCTGTCTGTGTTATTATGGCTGTCACTGGGTTTGTTGCGGCAATGTTAAGTCTAGACTGAGTGTAAGTCTGCCGTGAGCATCATTCCGGCCAAATAAAGGCCATTTACAACATTTTAATTGAGCCTGTTTGAAATACTTAGAATAGTGGAGACCCCTAGGAGATACGGTCTGGTTGGACCCAGGGGAATTAGTTGAGATAATATCTATCACGCACGCTTGTGAACAAAAAGGTTTAAGTTTATCCCCACTATAAAGCGGATGAAATGTGAATGTGTGTGTTCTGAGGGTACTGGTTCAAGTGTCCTCGAGAGGTCCTTTTCTATCAGCAGAAAAAAGCTTGCGTTGTTCTCTATAAAGTAGCACCAAAAGAGGAGCTTTCAATGTGGTCTTGTAGGTGAGGAAGGCTGTTGATAAATGGAGTCACAGAAAAGTATGGGCTTCACTTGAGACCGGATTGGTCTTTTAAACAAATTCTTCATGAAAAGTATGGTTTATTTTCTTACGTTTACTTATATGCTACACATCCCCGTCACTTTTATTCACAAACTATTTCCTCTATTGCTTCATACAAAACTTATTTTTTTTCTTCCTTTTTTTTTTCCACACGAAGCTGCTTCATCATCTCGCTCATCAGCTATCCACCCGTCGATCTCTCTAACTATGTTTATTTATCTAAGGATTATATATATGTATATCCATCTATTTACTTTTGGGACAGACCATACAATTTCACACATCTAGGACTACTGGGTGGCATACATTTTATTTTGATTAATAAAAATCGGGCACACAGTTGAGTAATATATTAAAGTATTATATACGG